CTCTTCGTATTTTCTTGGTTTCGTGCGATCTTGCTCCGTAATATCGTTATGTAGAGCCTCATGTCTGAAACGATTGGAAACCAGAGATAAAACACTTTGCAAGTATTCATCAAGAATAAGTTTTTTAAAAGCAGAAACCTCTAACCAATTTCAATCCGCAACTTCCGACTTATCTTACTTATAAGAGGCATGAGTTGCGCAATAGTGAAAAATTCCTTGAAATAAAAATTATTCCGAATAGTTGGATGATAATAAATAGGCACCTTTCCCACTCCTCGCACTCATCATTATCATCTTCAGTCTCTTCAACTTCCAATTTCTCAATCATATCGGCTTCTTCCTCTAAACTCGTCTCCTCAGGAAGTACATATGTTTTCTTTCTGTAGAAAACGTCGGAAGAATTTTTTTTTGATGCACCCTTTCCTTAAAAAATGACAATTTTAAAACATTTGCAAATCCACTTGAGAAACATGATGTTGAAACAATTATGTTCACTGTGCATGCTGTACGTATACTTTGCGGAACAACCATACCGAACAATGAGGAGGAAGGATATGTCAGTGGAACAGCTCCGTACATCTTAATATGGCGTGGCGGCTTTAGCCCGAGCTTTCCAACCAGTCGCGCTGGTAACTTACAGAGGCGTATCTAGAACAGTAAAGCAGTGAATACTCATAGCAGACCTGTATGGCGAGATCGAGACATTCACCTGTTCAAGGAAATAATCGGTTGGAGTCCCAACGTTACCAAACGGCATCACTTCGGGAGGACGAAATTCAATCATTGCCGAAAGATCCAGTTTTGTCAAAACGTCGGCTTCTAGAGCCTAAAACTTCATAGTGCAAAATATCAAAACAACTTCTTAATGAACGTGAAAGCCCAAGCACAACTTCCTTTACTCTAATTGATGTAGGCTTGCTAACAAAGACCACTGTCACATAACTAAAAAAACGACTAATGTAAATGTATTCAGAATTTCATACTAAAGAAACCTTTATTTCCTAACCAATTAAAGAGGAAACTTACAGCACTGATTTTGACAAAGAAGACGTAACATCGACACCCAAGCTCGTTCCCTTCTGCATCACTCCAAAACTTTCCATGAAAATCTTTCTTGAATTTCTCTCGAATTTCTTCATCATTAAAGCTTACAATACAACAGTAACGTCCAGCAGCACTGCTGTTCAAATTTTCAGCGGATCTCCCTGACTAAAAATTCCACATTGAGGTATATAAGCAGTTAGTGAAAAAATAATCCCCTAATAAATTTACACAAAAATTACATGGATTTCTGGTCGATGGCGATAATGAAAGCATTTAAAATGACCATTTTCGACATATTCGGAAAAATAATGCCGTAGATCTTTCGCGTGAAACTGCTTAGGGATGTTTCGTATAATTGCGTAACTAACATCTAGAAACTACAGCCGTTAAACACAAATTCTGACTATCAAATACATCTCCAAGTACTGATACAATATTGGAAAAAAATGGACGGCGTGAAAAAATTGAAAAAAATTCCATTGCAAGTTTAAAAATAAGAACTGCAGACCGCATGCCTTTGCTATTTGAATCCGAAGGATTTTCTTTACTACAGCATGGTTTATCAACATCACCAATTTGTTTTTCAGCAGTTAAACTTTCTGACATGATCGTACTTTCATTATCAAAGCCTAAATTTTTTGTTTTAATATCTTCCAACAATATTAGCTTTCAACTTCCGGAATAAATATATAACTCTCCAAGTGAAATTATTTACAGTAATCATAACATGTTGCCTAGACACCAAGGAGTTTAAATTTGACACAAAGAAAAAAAAGTGATCATTCATTAGTATACGGAAAGAGCAACACGTACATGTAGCGAAAAAACGTAAAAAATTGTGGGACTCATGAAAGACTATAAATGCCAAAAGAGAAGCTTATTTAATACGAAATTAAATACAAAGACTTAAAACAGACATGTTATTACTAACCGGAAAATCAGACGCTGCCTTAGTGAAATCCAACACTTGACTTTCACCGTCTCAATATTTGATTTATACCACTATTACTTTAGAAGGAAGTTATATACAGAGAGGAGTTCATCTCTAATTTGGTGTAGGAATTTTTGTAAGCAAAAATGGCTCCTTATGGAGGAACTCCAGCGGCTTTGGCTTGATGCTGTCAATGCCACCGTATTATACGGACCCACCCTCCGGTTATTCGACCGACCTCTATAAAGGTACGCTAAACTTCTACGTTACATAATTAAAAACGTCTTATTAAAAATATGCTGTTTATTATTGCTTTACTTCCTTGTTTTCCAAACTTTTTACTTTCTGGCCCTTTTTTAAGCCGAGATTTTAACCAAAATTCGATAGGGTTTACCACATTGAAAGGTTTTACTTATGCTAAATAAAAACTCCGTGAAATCTACACCCAGAAAAGTAAAAAAATTCATCGCCCTTAACAAACTCAATTTAAAAAAAAATTAACAAAAATCAATGATGTCAAAAAAAGGCAGCTTTTCAAAAATAAGTCAGGTAAAAACCGCTTAACTTGAAAGTAAGTAAGCGTTTTTATAAGTTGTTAGCCGATCGCATCACTGATTTCGGTCCTGGTGCGACATATTCTCCACACCAGTTTAAAAATGGCGCCGCCTGCATATTTATAGGCGGATTCAATCCTAATTTCTTTCGAGCAAGAAAACGACTTCGGCAAGAACGATTCCAGCGGAATTGGCAGTGTGCCACTATGGTATATGGAGGCACCCGGAAGATACCGGAGAGACTCCGGAAAAAGTACCTGAGAACTTTTTTGTCAATTGTCCGTATCAATTTTTATTAGTGTCATTTTGTCGCAATAGTCCTTTCTGTTTACACCACAAATTTCTCCGCTTTTGGTTCTGTTTCTGCCGAGATATTGGCAGAAATGTGACAAGATCTTTGTTTTTGACAGGTATCTTTCAACTTACTGTTATAACTTTTGTTCATGTCCCGGAACATATGTTTTCTTCCTTTTTTCGTGATCTACTTAATGAGGAGATAAAAAATATGTAAAAAAATAGGGTCATAGTACTGGCAGATGAAAAAAACGGTTTGAAACAATAATTGAAAAACTAAATTCTACTGAGAAAAAATTTCGAAAAAATGAAATCACTGGTATAAAAATAGTAGTTGGAGTGGAAATAGCGAAGGAAAAAAATATGGAAATAGTCATTAAGATAGCTTTAGGTTCACTGCGAGTAATATCAGTTTTAAGTACAGTAAAGTAA